ACTGGTCCAATTGTGTCACCCTCCCCCCCATACTGAATAAACTCCACTGGCTACCTTCAGAATAAAAAATAAAAGGGCTTTCAAAGCCCTTCATAACCTAGCCCCTCCCTACCCTTCCAGTCTTACACCTTACACTCTTATCCCCTCCAAGTACTTTCCTGGTAAACTAAAAATTTAGTTTAAAAATGTAGTAAACTAAAATCTCATCTTCTGCAATAAGCCTTTCCCAACATCTCTTAATTCTAGTGCCTTCCCTCTATTAATTATTTCCTATTTATCCTCTATATAGCTTGTTTGTACATATTTGTATGCTTGTTGTCTCCCTCATGATATTATAAGGTCCTAGAGGGCAGCAATTGTCTTCTGCCTTTTTGCATCCCCCTCCATCCCACCCCACCCCTTTAGCACAGTGCCTGCCACACAGGTGGCACTTAATAAATGTTTACTAACTGACTGGATGAAATTTGAAAACAAATAGTCAAAAAGTTTTTTTAGAAAAATTTGTAAATAACCTAATAAGCTTCACAAGGGCAGAAACAAGTTTCTAATTTATCTTCTCCCTGCACCTGGAAGACTGTTCTAAACATAGGAGGCACACAATAGATGTTGAATAAAACACTTCCCTTTTCCTTAACTGGGTAGCACATCAATTTAGGAGGGAACAAAAGCTCAGCATTATACAATCATATAGCAAATCCATAATTTATAGTTAGAGACATTAAAAGGCTAAAGATCGTATTTGATATTAACATATTAGAATATAATATTTTTAAAAGTGAACAATCTTCCTTAAACCCCCAAATTGCTTTTGATGTCAGTTTTCATATCAATCGTGTGTATGTGAGATGCACACACACATACATATGTGTATATGACCTAAGCTATATTGCTGAACTTTGTATTCAAAGGATGATCCTATTGACACCGGTTGTTAATGGTGTTTAATGGTATAGCTTACAACATCATACACAGACAAAAGTCTTTTACAAGCCTGCACCTGTGAAAACTCTTCTTTAAGTTGTAGCTACAGGCATTATTTTCAAAATCTCTAACCATTTATTCTGTGTTATGGACTCTTATGAGGTCCAGAATCCTTGTTTTAAAAAAAGCTACCATCCTCAAGACTGATTATATCAGGTTGGTCTTGCTACTGTTACTGTTTCCTATGAGTTCACTGGTATTTTTACATTGCTTGATCTTTTCGCATGAAACTTTTAAAAAAATCATTCTCTCTCCCTCCCACAACACCCTCCCCCCTAAATGATGAAACACACACACACACACACACACACACACACACACACACACACACACACACGAAAACTCCAGCAAATCAAATTTCCATATTGGCCATATGCAAAAATATGAGTCTCATTCTGGATTTTAAATCTATCATCTGTCTGGCAGGAGATGGGTGGCATGATTTATCTTTAGTTTAATCCTGTAGTTCGTAACTCTATTCATCAGAGTTCAAAAGTCTTTCAAAGTTGTTTTTCTCTATAATAATGCTGACAAGTAAACTGTTTTCCCAGTTCTGTTCACTTTACTCTGAATCAGGTCATAAAGGCCTTCCCAGTTTCCTCTAAAACTGTAGAGTTTATCATTTCATAAGGTCAAATAACATTCCATTCCACTGATATACCACAATTTGCTTAAGCATTCCCCAAGAGGAAGCTGTACCCTTAGTTTCCAATTTGGGGCTACCACAAAAATTTGTATATCTTTTCCTCTTTTTAAAATTTCCTTAGTATATAGATCTAGCAGTGAAAGTGGTGGGTTAAAGGGTATGTACAGTTTGGACCTTTCTTAAGAGCACAGTGCTTTCTAGAATGTCCCAGCACTTCTTAAACTGTGGGTCATGACCCCATAGGGTCATGGGTTATGACCCACACTTTATGAAGTGCTGAAGGGGTCGTGAGTGGAAAAAGTTGAAGAAGCCCTGGTCTAGATCAACTAGTTCACAGCTCTACAGTGTACTATACAGTATCTGTTTTTGCACAGTCCCTCCCATATTTGTGATTTTTCTCTCTTGTCATCTTTACCCAATTCAAATTAGTGTGAAATGGAACTCTGAGCTATTTTAACTTGCATTTCTCCAATTATTAGTGCTTTGGAGCATTTTTCATATGGTATTGAAAGTTTGGATTTCATCCTTTGAAAACTGCCTGTTTATATGTTTTGACCCATGTCTGGAACATAGTAAGCACTTTAAAATGTTGAATAATTCATTTATTTATTTATTTGAGAATGGCTCTTAGTCTTGTAAATTTTATTCAATTCCTTATATATCTTGGATATGTGACCCTTATCAGAGAAAACTTCTTTCCCCCCAGTTTCTCTTTCCCATCTAATGTTAATGGCATAAGATTCATTTAGGCAAAAATTTTTCAGTTTTATATAATCAAAATTGTTCATTTATTTTCTGGGATCCTCTTTATCGCTTTGGTCATGAACTTTCCCCTATCTATACACCTAAAAAGTAATTTCTTCCCTGATTTTCTGATTTAATACATCACCTTTTATATCTAAATTACGTATATATCTGATCTTTATATTGGCATACAGTGTGAGATGTTGGTATCTAACAAATTGTTTTATAGCTTTCCCAAGAGTTTTTCAAATAGTGAGTCTCTACACTAGTCTTTAGGTTCATCGAACACCATGTTAAATTTACTTGCTTATGTATGCTTGTTTCACTGACTGACCTCTCTGTTTTAATAATTATAGTTTCAGCTCTGGTACCAAATTATCATTGCTGTTTTCTTTTTTCATTTTTACCCTTGAGATTCTTGACTGTTTGCTCCTAGAGATGAATGTTATTATTTTTTCCAGCTCTATAAAATAATCTTCTGGTAGTTTGGTAAGGTAGCATTATCATTTTTATTATATTGTATCATATATTGTTATATAAAATTATATTATTTATATCATATTTGTTATTATCAATGACCTAGTAATATTTCTCCAATTATTTGGTTCTGTCTTCATTTTTGCAAAAGGTGTTCCATAGTTATATAGTTCCTGGTTCTGTCTTGGTAGAACAGAAACATTCTCAAATATTTTATACCATCTAATAGTCATTTTAAATAGAATTTCTCTGCCTCTTCATATTTTTATATTCATTTTTCTGGTTTTCTTGGTAATATAAGGGAATGATAATGACTTATGTGAATACATTTTATATTCTGCAACTTTGAGGTTTTGTTTCAATTAATTTTTTTTATTGATGCTGAGGTTTACAATGTGAATCATATAACTGGAAAAGGCAATACTTTTGTTTTCTCTTTGCTATGCTTATTCTCAATTTCTCTTTCTTTCACAGCTATCATTAGCATTTCTAGGACTTTGTTAAATAGTGGTGGTAATAATGTACATCCTTGCTTTACCACTCATTTTACTGGAAAACCTTCTAACTTTTTTCCATCACATATAATGTTTGCTCCCGGCTTGAGATAATTATTATTTAGTATATTAAGGAAAGATTTATTTATTCCTATGCCTTCTAGTGTTTTTGGTTGTGTTTTTTTTTAAACAGAGATAGGTACTGGATTTTGTTAAAATACTTTTCAGCATCTATTGATATAATAATAATGTGTTTTATTATTTGTTATTAACATGATTTATTATATTAATGTCGAACCAACCCTACATTCCTGTTATATATCCAACCTTTTATGTTGTCGATTTCTTAATATTTTATTTAAAATTTTTACCTCAATGTACATTAAGAATATTAATCTAGAACTTTTAAAAAATATTTCCTCTCTTCCTGTTTTATATATTTGTGACCACATTCATATTAGAGAAAGAGAGTAGAAGAACACCTTCTTTTCCCATTATTATAGATTGCGTAATATCAAAATCCATTGTTCTTTTTCTCCTTTACTTGAAGCTTTTTTCAGAGCATCTTGAAAGCAATTATTTTGGCCTCCCTTGCTTGGCTGCCCATGTAATAGTTGTTTAGGCATCCTGTTGTAATTCATTCACTGCATATATGAGGCTTGCCAGAAGGGGAAAGAAAACAAAGAATTTTACTTTGTCTAGGACCTCTTTGTTGCTGGATCTTGTTGAGCCACTTAATGTTAACTAGCTTTTATGGTTAATTTAATAAAATTGTTCATCTTAACTTAGACACAAGTCTAATGGTACTTAATATTAATAAATAAATCATGTTGATGATAAAAGTTGAACATGACTGCTATTTTACAGATCTCTAGTTTAGTCTTAAAATAGTTTTCTTTTAACACAGGCCATCTATCAAACTCCAAAAATCATGCTTTTCTGATCAGCTCTTTGCTTCACTCTCAACCAATGCACTGATTTTATATGACAGAGTTCAAGTGAGCTATTATGCTTTATCACTCTTGGTCAACATAGATTGGTTTCAACATTCCACTTGAAACATTCTGTAATATTTCAGTGGAATGTGCATCTTGGGAACTAAAACGACACATGACAATATACATATCTCTAAGCATAGTACCTATTTCTTGAAAAGTCGTTTCTTCTCAAAGAATTATAAACTGTTATAAGTTGGAGACACCTTTATATGATACACCATGATCAATCGCCCTTAAATTTCTAACTTTGTCTATGAAATAAAAATCACAATAAGTGAAACTAAAAGCTCTAATATAGTAATATGCAGAATGTGTATGAAAGTATACAAATATCTAATTCAAATTATACAATTTGTTCATATCAGTGATATAGGGTCAAGTTAAAGATTGTTCTTTCTACCTAGACTTAATAAAACATTTTCCTGATCACTGATCACATCTTCAACTAAAAATGGGTTTTCTAACATCTAATGATGGTGATTTTCATTTATTCCCATAAAACGTACTTAATATTCCAAATCAAAGTTCCAGAAGAGGACTATTACTCCATCTCTTTAGGTTGTTATTTTAAAATCTCAGCTGGTTATAAGGTTTTTGCTTGATAAGGCATATCTATTCTATATATGGTATACAAAAACTTTAATATACAGAAAAACATACCTTCACTGTCCTTGAATTTCTTGATTGCCACAATTTCATGTGTTTCCTGAAAAGGAAGAGTCACAAGAGAAGAAAGTTATTTTCAAATGGCAAATCTTAAAAGGAAACATTTCTCAAATCCTAATTTGGCCATATTAGAAAGGTATTTGGGGAACACAATGGGAAACAAGCTAGACAAGCATACCCAGACCTTGCCTTCCACAAAATTACTCTGACCAACTACTCTCCCTATTTCCAGGGGGAAAGATGTGGAGAAAAGCATAAATAACTTTAGGACATTAAAAAGTGGCAGGGTAAAGATGAATTTAGGTCTTCATTTGTACTGTCAATCTAAAGAAGGTCTGTCAAGAAAAGCTGTTTAAGAAGATCGTTAACTATAACTAGACATGCTAGTTTCTGAAAAAACCGCTTCCTGCTGGTGACAGACTGACTGTACAAAAAATAATTTTCTTCCATCTGTGTATTTTTCTACCCAAGATATCTGGCTCACTGGCCAATTATCCTTTATTGCTATTAAACAACCACAGACATTATTTTAATATACAACATATTCTTTTGTGTGTCTTCTGAAAATGACAACCATCAACCTCTCCTTAAATCCCTTTCTCTCTCCTAAATAAAAAAAAAAAAGAACTTTTATTGCCAGAACAATCTATTTTTATCACAGCATGGAAATGTGGAAATTCTAATCCTTTTTTTGGAGGATGGAGGGAGGCAGGTAGTCCAGGAGCTGGTTACTAGAGATATTAAAATGTCTGAGAATCACTGAACTAAATAAAGTATTATTTTTAATTCTCAATTCCAAAGTGAAGGTAAATACTTTTGGCAAGAGAATTAACAAACATACTAGGAAACTGATGTCTTATCTAAAAATACTCACATATTTTTCTACATTAAAGGTAAGCACACATTTTGTTGTTTTCTATCATCAGTCAATTAGCATTTTCAAATGCCTACTTTGGGCCAGGCATTATGGATACAAAGAAAGAAGCAAAAATTCCCTGCCCTCAAGGAACTTATATTCTCTCAAGGTAAAAAACATGTGCATAAATACATAAGTACAAAATAAATACAAGGCAGAAACAAGGTAATGGGGGTGGGGGGGAGTGGGGGAGAGATCAAGAAACACTTCCTGTAAACAGCAGGAATCATTTGAGACCAGCTTTGAAGGAAAACAAGAGTGCATTCTAGGCATGGAGGAAAGTCTGTGCAAAAGTATGGCGATGGCTACTGGAATATTATAACTGAGGAACAACAAGAAGGTCATTTTAAAAGTCCAGTATATGAAGGTAAGTAATGTATAATGAGCCTGGAAAGACAGGTTGGAGTCAGGTTGTATAGAAGTTTAGATGTTAAAGAGAGACCTTTGTATTTGGCACATTGCTCAATTTCCACTTCTTATCTGCCCCACCATCACCACAACCAACTGCTTGATGCCTTGGGAGTAACCTCGTGAGGCTAACTCAATGATTAGTTAAAGTCCTTGTCTGGAATCCCCATATCATGAAGAGGCCCACTCATACTCCTTAGTGTCCACTTTTGGCTCACTCTCAACTAAAGGCTCCTTTTCCACAAGCCTGCTCCACCTGTACATTGGCTGGGTTGCTCTCACTCTCCTCTACTTCCATCTCATCACATGCTTTGTCTTTCCTGTTAGATGCAAGCTCTTCAAAAAGAGGGAACATTTCAGGGGCTTTTTGTTTATTTTGTTTTTCTTTGTTAGTTTCTGTATACTCAGTGTTTAGTACAATGCCTGGCGTACAGTAAGCATTTAATAAATGCTCTATCTAATCTTAGAAGATTTATGAGATTTACGAAGCAGGGGAGTGATGTGGTCAGGCAACACCATGCAGAAGAAGCTATGTCTAAAATGACAGAATTTAGGGGGGGATGAATTCCAGACAAGGGGCATAGTCAATACAAAGGCAAATGGAGGGTATGAGCAGTGCTGCAAAACAGTAAGAAAAGCCAATTAGGCTAGACCAAAAGGTAGTAGTCGCATAAAGCAGCTAGCATGTGAGAAGCTTTTAATAGCAAACAAAGGAGTTTATCTTCGATCCTAGAGGTGACAGGGAGCCATTGGAATTGATTGTGTAGGGGGAGTAACATGGTCAGACGAGTAGTTTAATAAAAATCAATTGGGGGGGCGGAGCCAAGACGGTGGAATGAAAGCAGTGACTTGCTTCAGCTCTCCCCCAAATCCCTTCAAATACCTGTAAAAAATGGCTCTAAACAAATTCTAGAGCAGCAGAACCCACAAAAAGACAGGGTGAAACAAATTCCCAGCCCAAGACAACCTGGATGGTTGATCTGAAAGGTATAACATGATGGGCTGTTAGAGGAGCGCAGTTTGGCATGGGCATGCAGGCCACAGCAAACCTGGAGCAGACCTCAGAGGACTGAATCAAAGGTAGCTGTGGCGGTTTCCAGACTTCTCAACCCACGAACGCCAAAGACAACTTAGAAGGTCAGTGGGAAAAGTCTGCCTCTGTGGTAACAGAGGAGGTAGGTCTCAGGCCCAGTTTCCGAGGTTCTGGCCCACAGACTGAGGGGGAATCACGTGGCTGATCAGAGGGGGATTGCAGAGATCGCTTTGCCAGTAGTGAGGCATGAATTTCTTCCTTTGCCCGTGCATGGATCTGGGTCACAGTTCTGAGGCACGGTCCAGATACGAGGAGAAGTGCTGGTGGAGTAGAGCTTGTAGTGGCTGTGGAGAGAAAATTCTCCTCACAGTTCCAAGACAGAAAAGAGTGCTTGTGGTTGGTCACGCATACACCAGAGCACAGGCCAGGAAAGGAATAAACACCTCGCCCCTTATCACATCACCTTGGAAGAACTGAAAATTTACAGGTACCTACAAGTATCTCTGAAAATAGCTGTACAAACCCCTGAAGCTTGGGACAGTACACTCTCCACATTGGAAGCAGACTATTACCTTAACAAAGAGTTTAAAACTCAAGTAATTGGCTGGGATCATGAACAAGCAGCGCAAAAAGAGTCAGATTATATTATCTTACTTTGGTGACAAAGAAGATCAAAATATACAACCAGAAAAAGACAACAAAGTCAAAGCTCCTACATCCAAACCCTCCAAGAAAAATGTGAATCAGTCCCAGGCCTTGGAAAAACTCAAAAAGAATTTTGAGACGCAAGTAAGGGAAGTAAAGGAAAAACTGGGAAGAGAAATGAGAGTGATGCAAGAAAATCACGAAAAACAAGTCAACAACTTGTTAAAGTAGACCCAAAAAAATGACTGAAGAAAATAACACCTTAAAAAATAGCCTAACCCAAATGGCAAAAGAGGTCCAAAAAGCCAATGAGGAGAAGAATGCCCTAAAAAGAAAAATTAGCCAAATGGAAAAGGAAGTCCAAAAGCTTACTGAAGAAAATACTTCCTTGGGGCAGCTAGGTGGTACAGTGGATAGAGTACCGGCCCTGGATTCAGGACGACCTGAGTTCAAATCTGGCCTCAGACACGTAACACTCACTGGCTGTGTGACCCTGGGCAAGTCACTTAACCCCACTGCCTAACTAAAAACAAAAACAAAATAATTCCTTAAAAATTAGAATTGGAAGCTAGTGACTTTATGAGAAATCAAGACACTGTAAAACAAAGTCAAAAGAATGAAAAATTAGAAAACAATGTGAAATATCTCACTGGAAAAACAACTGACCTGGAAAACAGATCCAGGACCTCATCTTTCAAGAAATTATCAAAGAAAACTGCCCTGATATTTTAGAACCAGAGGGCAAAATAGAAATTGAAAGAATCCAGCAATCTTCTCCTGAAAGAGATCCCCAAAGGAAAACTCCTAGGAATATTGTAGCCAAATTCCAGAGTTCCCAGGTCAAGGAGAAAATATTACAAACAGCCAGAAAGAAACAATTCAAGTATTGTGGAAACACAATAAGGATAACACAAGATTTAGCAGCTTTTACATTAAGGGACCACAGGGCATGGAATATAATATTCTGGACGGCAAAGGAGGTAGGATTACAATCAAGAATCACCTACCCAGCAAAACTGAGTATAATTGTTCAGGGGAAAAAATGGCCATTCAGTGAAATAGAGACTTTCAAGCACTGCTGAGGAAAAGACCAGAGCTGAATATAAAATTTTACTTTCAAATACAAGATTCAAATGGAACATGAAGAGGTAAACAGAAAAGAGAAATCATAAGAGACTTTAAGGGTGAACTGTTTACATTCCTGCATGGAAAGATATTCGTAACTCAAGAGACCTTTGTCAGTATTAGGGTAGCTGGAGGGAAAAAAAAATAACGTGTGTGTGTGCGTGTGTGTGTGTGTGTGTGTGTGTGTGTGTGTGTGTGTGTGTATGCAGATACAGACAGAGGGCACAGGGTGAGCTGAAGATGAAGGGGTCATATCTGGAGAATAAAATTAAGGGTTGAGAGAGGATGATACTCTGAGAAGAAGAAAGGGAGAGGTAGAATGGGGTAAATTATCTCACAAAAAAAACAGAAAAGACATGGCTCTTACACTGGAGGGGAAACAGGGGAAGGTGTGAGGGAATGGCTCAATCTTATTCTCACAGGATTTGGCTTAAGGAGGGAATAACATACACACTTAATTGGGTATGGAAATCTGTCTTACCCTACAGGAAAATAGGGGGAGAAGGGGACGAGAGTAGGGGAATGATAGAGAGGAGGGCAGACTGGGAAAGGGGGTAATCAGAAGCAAACACTTTTTTTTAAAATATAAATTTATTTATTTTTAGTTTTTAACATTCACTTCCACAAGTTTTTGAGTTCCAAATTTTCACACCATCTCACCCCTCCCCCCACCCCAAGATGGCATGCATTCTGAATATCCCTTCCCCTAGTCTGTCCTCTCTTCTATCTCTCCCCCCTTCTCTTATCCCCTTCCCCTTCTATTTTCCTGTAGGGCAGGATAGACTTCTGCACCCCATCTCCTGTATTTCTTATTTCCCAAAGCATGTGAAAACATTTTTTTTAAACATATGTTTTTAAAACTTGAGATTTCAAATTTTCTCTATTCCTCCCTCCCCACCCACCCTCATTGAAA